AGTCATATACAGAGGTAGAAGTTGATTAATTGAGTCCCCACCACTGTGATACAAAAATCGATATTTGATTTTTAAAACATTTAAATTAAAGATTTCTCATGTTGTTTGTTTCGTATGAAAAAGAAAAACAATGAGAAATAATAGTGATACATAAAAATGATTTTCCATTATTGATTCTGATCGTTAGTATTCTATCTGTATGATATAATAACACTTTATTCTTCTAATAAACTTAATTTTCTATAAAATAATTTAGAATTTACACGATGGTGACTCATCAAAACGTTTAAATCCTCATAAATATCTTCTTTATAAACCAACTTTTAGTCAAATTTATGCATTTACAGCATCAGCTTTTAAAGATTTACCGTCAAATGGCGTTCTTCTTCTTTATATTTCTGCTGATGGTTATGATACACATTTGAAAATAAAAACTGAACAATCATATGATTTTGGTGGTGTTAAAACTAATAATCGACGTGATGATATTAATGATAATTCAAATTCACCAGTAAATACTCTTGGAAAAAAATCACCTTCAACAATAACAACAACAACAACAACAGCAACATCTATTAAAGATATTCATAATATATTTCCAGGAGATTTATATCCATTTTTACGTAAACCATTATTTTTAATAATTGATAGTAATAATAGTATTGTATTTCAAAATTTACCAAATTTATTTGGACAACCCTTAATTTCATTACTTTCACCTGTTAAAATACCAACAGCTTTTCATGGTAAGATATAGATTTTATTTTTCATATTATCTAAAAATCTGTTAGAGCAATCGCTATGGGATTACACGATGTATAGATCATCTACGCTGACTACGTTGTGATATACACTTGCTCTCATGGTTAGTTAGTGTGTATGGGAAGCACAAGAACTCTGAGATAACCCAACCTTTTGTCCAGAACTACAGCTAGTCATAGTTGTATGAAAGGTATCAGGTAATTTAGTCTGCACTCTATATTCCAAGTTAGTTGAAAGACAGAGGTATTCTTCCTTCTTTCCATGGCGTGTGACAAACCACCTCTAACATGTTTTTTTTGTTTAGATTATCAAAATAAAGGAAGTTTATTTACATTATTTTTAACATCACCAGCATTTGCATTTTGTTTTGTTTGTCATTTAAATGAATTAACAAGTGAACAATGGAATTTATGTCAAGAAAATGTGAATAAAATTATTTTTGAAATAATAAGAATTTTCTTGAAATCAAAACTTGTTGGTAAGATTTTGATTAATTATTGTTTTTCTTAATTTAGCAAATATAAATTTAAATTTATGATGTTTGTTTTTTTTGCTAGATGGTACATTCTATCACTTTTTTGGTGATGATTTTCTACGATTATTTCTTGCTCGTTTTGTTTTTTGTTATGCTGTTCTTCGTTTACATCGATCATTTAAGGTAATTTAAATTAGAAAACAATTTCTTTTTTGGGTTTCTCGAAATCATTAATATAGAATATTTAATAGAGGTCGACATTTTCTCGATCTGACTTGCCTATCCTATTTGTTTTCTGTTGCCAATATCATAATAATATTAGAATAGAATAAACCATTAATTTTTATAGAAGCCTGTAAGATTCAAATCGAATACAAACCGGGGGTAGTAAGCAGGCCTCGAAATCGAGCCACTAGTGGCCCGAAAGAAACTTCCTTTACAAAGATTTTTTTCTCAATAGACAGCTATTCCATATTTTTCGGCTTTTATAAAAAGTGATGACCAAGGGAATAGCATAGAGAAGCGTCCCCTTATCCCCCCCCCCCCCTCAAGGATGAGCCAAATTTCAGAAAAAGTTATGTCAAAAGAGAATAAAATCGTCGGGTCGGGCGACTCGTTTCGAGACCTGATAGTGAGAACAAAGGTATAGCTGACCTCTCCAAAACGGTAATCTATTTGATTGTTTATAAGTATCATCAATATTCGATTTAAACTATTAAACTAATTTATCATATTTAAATGTTATCCTTGAAGTTATTTCCGTTGCATTTGTTCGTTAGCAATATATTCAATTTATGAGATAAAACGTTGATGTCAAAGAAAAAAAAATAAACAAGCGAACTTGATTAGCTCAAGTATTTAATGTCACTTTTATAGGCATAGATACAATAAATTATCTTGAATTTAAAATATTCACACTTGTGAAGAATATTTAAATTTTGAATTAGAAAGTTGTGAATCATGAAAATCACACTCATAACAGAGTTGATCTAATAGATTAAGATTTTTTTTTTTTTAAAAGAAAATATCATGAAATTATTCTTTAACAAAAACTTTAGGGTTCCGGTTTTTATCCATCTTCTCAACCACAATTATCAAATGATCTTCTTGAAAATGTTCAAGTACATAAAACGATATTGGAATTATCAGCATTATTAAATGTACGTCAATTATTTCTTGAAGGGCCTCTTGCTACTTTAGAATAATTATCTTGACATAAGCAATAATAATCTCACGGGAAACTATTTAGTCATTATTGTTGTTGTTTTTCTTTTTGAATATGCATGATCTCATTATTACTATTATTATTATTATTATTATTATCTGTTCTTTTTTTTTTCTTTGTCTTCCGTAAGAAATTGAACGTATTAAATTAAATTTTTGCTTTTTTCTCCACTCTGATTATGTGAATGTGTGTGCAATTGTATTTTTTGTTTATCTCTTATGATATAGTCAGTTCTTTGTTCATTTTGTTTTTAAATATTTAATCGTGTTTGCGGTGTACAAACATTTTTTTTCTTCTTTTTCTCCGTGAACGAAAAATTTCTTTGTGTATGAAATATTCTTTTATTTCCTTTTCATTCAAAACAAAGTCAATAAAAGTCATAGATTAAATTAATTGAAAATTTTATGAATTCTATTTATATGTACTGAATAACTTGAAGAAAAAATCTCGACATATAAAAGTCAAACAAAACTTCAGCTATTTATTTAACAGAATTGTATTGAATCTTAGGAATCTACCAGCTAAAGACAAAACTATTGATACTATGAACTGTGAAATGACGAGTTTCAGTTCTGATAGTTCCCTCGATAGTCTGTCTACAGAATAGTAAGATAATTTAAACAAAGCATTAGTTATTTATATAATTGTTCATAAAAAATTATCAACACTATTAGAAATCAATGTTTCCGTTATTGCACCACTAATGATAACTGCTAATGTTTTATGTCTTGTCTATGATGATGAAATATTTTATATTCTTTCATCAAAAGGTTATATTAATTAGTTTTATAAATCTTTTGATGATTTCATAGGTTATCAGAAGTTGAATATATTAAGTATAAATGAATTATTTCATAATGTAAAAATTTATGAAAATCGAAAAATTCGTCATGATTTCTAAGGAGGAAGACCGTATCATTTATTTTATACCTTTTAACAACTATACGAATATCTGATCGATCTTATAGTCATTCAACTATCCTGTAAACAAAATTTATAAATGAAGAAGCAAAATGTCTAGTTGTACATCAAGATCAACACCAGAAATATCTTAAAAACAAGCAAAACATAAAAGTGCGAAGCATACTATATTAACTGTGTTAATCTCATAAATCATATAAAAAGAAATATCCGAAAGAAGTGAACAGAAAGATCATTGTATAAGTGATGATACATCTAGTGATAGAGTCAGGATGATCAAACACTTCTTAGTCCGACATCCTGGCTTTACCACTGGATACATCATAGATTCGTTTTCTTTTTAACTCTGTATTCAGTTTCGATTTCTTTCATATTTAAAAGATTGATATTGAATTTGGCTTTTACATCTTAATAAACCTCAGCGATTTTTAATTATCGTAATGGTTTATGTACCGTACTGAATAAATAACTTGGATGATGCAGTTAGAACACAATTGAAACAATTGTCCCCGTTTTGGAAATTAACAGTTTGATCAAGTTGCGTCTTGCAGTCACAGTTTTATGATACTGTAAAATTTTTGTCAGTTTTTTTCATATGGCATAGACAACGGTTACGTAATTATAAAGAAAGATTTGGTCAATGGTGACTCTTGTTTAAGAGTACATCACAACGCTGAAATTCTTGATTACATTAACAATTGAATGGTTTTATTTTAAATTATATACTAATTTTGCTTTAAAACATTGACTATTTCGTGACAATATGCAACTTAAATGATCGAAATTAAAAAAAGGAAGTAAATAATGATTTATTTACTCATTATGATCCTAAATTGATATCAGTTATAACTAGGATATGCAATTAATCTCGGATGATTTATTTATCCAAGTAAATTATTTTTTTCTTTTACATAAAATTGCTACTGTGATGTACCTGAAAATAAATATCCTAATGATGAATTAATAAATGAATAAATGATTATAGATTGTATGATTCGTATTGATCGACTTGCAGAAAACAAAGCAAACATTTATGTTGATTATGTTTTCTCAAATATTGTTTTAACAATTGAAGATTATTTAAAATTTCATAAAACAATAAAAAATTGAGTTTTATAAATTTGATTCTTTCATGGATGCTGATGATCTTTCACGAAAAGAAGAGCACAGTGAAGGATTGATGAAATAGCGACATGCTCGTTTCTTCAGAATTAACATCATGTTCAAGTCCTACCTCCCACAGTATCGTCTTTGTGTGGATGTGAATATAGATCTACACCCATACCCATTCTAAAAATTTGCAGAATTTTTGTCACTACATCGGTATGTGTATACCTTACTCTCTCGAAAACGTTTTGAGAACCTTCGTTCTACAAATAGAATTAATAATATTTTTTTTTGTGAATATTTTCTCACTTAGAAGCAGCTTTCGATCGGTCAGTCTTTACCATTGATATGCTTTCAGATTCTTTATGGATAGGCATCGGTGACAAATGCTAACAAACAATGTAATAAAGAGAATTCTGGTTTTCCTGCGTTCTTATTGTCATCTCTGTACGCCCTCTATAGAGCTTTTTAAGTTCTGGTTTGGTCACAGTGTCCAATAAAACGACCTCCATGATAGCGCGTCGTGACACATTGTACTCTAGTGGGTTCATATCGATAAACTACTCTTCGATATATTTTTCCATATCTATTGAAGTTTTCTCTTATGCTTTTTTAGAAATTATTGTTTATAAGATGATCGAACGTCTTCGTCTCTATCAAATACCATGGTCTCATTACTGTGACAAGGTTCGTTGGGCATTGGATTTGAAAGAACTTCCATACGAAATTGTAAATTTTAATGCATTTGGAAAAACAAAAGGTTTAGAACGAGCGCCCAAGACAATGCGCAAACTAATGCCAATACTTGAAGATCCAAACAATAAAGATGGTAATACATTTCAATGTGATTCAACACCAATTTTACTCTATTTGGATGCACAATATCCTCAATCGTCTATATCACTTTTTCCATCATCATCATCATCGGAAGAATATCAACAGGTTATTGACACATGTTTACGTCTTGATTCCGAATTAGGCCTTTACATACGTCGCATTGGCTATGTTCAAATACTCAAAGAGAAGTCAAGTGTATTGTCACTTCTATTTGGCGAAGAGTTTTCATGGGCAAATAATCCAGATGATATTCGTTCACGTTTGATTAGTCCACTCATCGCATGTGTTATGATTGCTCGTTTTCGACTTCATCGAATACGTGAAGAGCAAATAAAGGAGAAAATAGAACAGATTCTTCTAGATATTGGAAATCATTTACGTACAAATGATTATCTCGTTGGTAAACAATTCACGGCAGCTGATTTAACATTTTGTTCGCTTGTCAAAATACTCAAATGGATACCCTATTTCAATGAAGATCGTCGTTTTCGAATTATTTTCGATTATCATGAACGAATTCGACGAAATTATGATCCAAAATATCCAAATATTGATAGTTATCTCGAAAAAATAATTGATAAACATCGAATACAAACGAAAAGAAATGAAAAAAATTTAACTACTCGTATCAAAACATTTATTCATCGAATTAATTTTTTACAACAATTTTTTATTATATTTATGACTATGGTTGTAAAAAGTATTTATGGACCGGCAACTGACGATGAAGAAGTTCTTCAATTCAAGACATCATCACCACAGAATAAGCAAGAAAAAGAAGCATTCAACGATCAACGACGAGTAAATATTAAGCCATCCTGGTTAATGATTAAATTCTTCTTCAAATATTACTGTCATTTTCTATTTACTATTCCGAATCAAACAGTCTATTTAGATATAAAAGCATAGTTGTTGTCATTATATACGTCTATAAACATTCAATGTCATTCATAGATTTTGATACTTTTTTTGTAATCGTACTACATCGTATATTTTTGATATTGTTTGTTAATAACTTAGTTAAAAGATTTCAGATTTTCATAGATTGAGGGAGAGACAAAAATAAATTTTTCAATAAAAGTTATAATTTAAGTTGACCAACGTCCATGTTTTACAACTGACGGAAGAAGTAAATTAATAGAAAATATACCGACTGAGTGAAATATAAACAAATGGATTAGAGGAACAGAAGAACTCACCACCTCTTTTCAAATATGCACTTTGACTGAGCAAACAGCTGCTATTGCCTTTATCTAGTATGATCAGCACTTCCTTCTTCGAATATGAATTATCGATTTAATTACTCGGTTTTTTGTTTTGTCGAGTGACTATATATGGGCAAGACGATCCCGATTGGATCGAGAATGTGAGGTGTATGGGGGTGCTCTGAAAAAAGAATAAAGAAGGTTTGAAGAATCTTTTAGGTCTTTAAAAGGTTCTGCAAAACTCCTTTATTATTTTCAGAGTAGAAAAACTAAAATTAGGACAGTGAGAACAACACTAACAAGTAGGTCAAATCCAATAATAATTTATGACCGAATGAATATTGATTCTTATATTTATAGTTAGCCTATGTTTATCTTCATGCAATTTACAACAGATATGCATTCAAAGTTTCTATTTAGATGTAGGATATCTCTTGTGTATTTTGATATGGTTTCAACCAGTTGAGATGGTTCTGTTAGTTAGAATACTACCTGGCAAGACAATTTGCGAGATAATCTCAAACGATCCTTCATATTTTGTTCGGAAAATTCACGCAATCTAATCGGCTCATCCACTTATTCATAATAACTATTGACAAAAAATCTATTTTCGCTGTTCATAAATACTATATTGTTCTAGGAAATATAAAAGTTTTCTCGAGCATTGAAATATGTCAAGTGCTATTTAACGATTTCAAGATAATTAGTCACTATCATGGCTACTAACTATTTTTTTTGAATAGTGCGATATTATTTGAGCATGAATATCTTCAAGCTCTTGAATTTTATCTAATGTCATATGTTTAGTAGTTTTTTATTGATGGAGATTGGCTTGTCAAATTTACGTTTAATTTCAATTAATTCTAGATAATCATCGTGTATATCATTATATGAGCTTTCAAGTTGTATACAAAATTTTTAAATATCTTGATATTGTTTTTTTTTACATTTTTTAGACATAAATCGTTTAATGTTTTGTTCTGTTTTACCTCATTCGAATTTCGAAGTCATTTTTAATTCATTCGCTTTCTTTTAAATATTCTTCAAATTTCGAATTACTAAAATTATTGAACTAAAATCAAACATAATGATTGAATAAAGAAAAAAAAATTTACATTGTTTGTTGAATGACGATCAAGAATTAGTCTAAACTTAAATAAAAATTAATTAAATTTAAAACAAAAAGAAATCTATTAGTGCAATTCCTACAAGCTTAAAATATAAAACATGATATAGTTGTTGTTGGTTATTATAGAAAAACTATTTTAAGATACATTTCTTCAACATCAGTTTTACTTAATAACCCTCCAGAAATGTAATGAGAAAGTATAATTTAGATATAAGAACAAGACGAAAATGTTAGACTCGAAATTGAATCTATAAATAAGTCTCATGATTCTAAGAATAGTCCGAAAGTTTTAGTCAAGATGAAAGTTTGTTTGTTGAGATATTTGATATTTTTCTGATATCTTATAGACTTTCAAATATTAAATGTTTCAAGAAAGAAGTATTCCTATTGGATGACACTTATACAATCATGAGATCTATTTATAGGCAAAAATTTATAAATAAAAAATCTATGATTCACTTTTCATATCCATAGACCAATTTTTTAGCCTCGGTTCAGAAAAAACAGTCACGAAAATATTATTTTAAGTCACATGAGGAAGGAAAAGAGTATAGCGACCGATCATATTATCAGATAATATCTGAACCGTAAGCTTGAATAAAATTTGAGACCTAATCTTTGATTGGACAGGTTTCCAATAGAATCGCAATAGATATAATAAGTATTTCTATTATGAGTCCAGAATTGATTTGTATCACATTTAGACAAACCTTCAGGTTTCGTTTGCATATATCTCTAGTTATAATTCTGTAGATAAGATTTATGTGCTTGACTTCTTTTTCAATCATCGTCCGAGTTCATATTGGAGCCACAAAGATGTATCAGTGAAACTAGCAAAAACCTAAAAGATTCGTTCGTTTTACTGAACTTCCGATCAATTTTTCGGTATTTACTGAATAATCTAAAAAACAGAATTTTCACTGAAAATTTTGTCCATAGATAGATCTAATGATCTTTAAAATATTCTGAAAGTTCGAGTTACTTGATTCTAAGGGTCATTAGATCTATCTATAGACAGAATGTTAGCTCGCGATTTAGTTTTTTTGATTTTTTGATAAATATCCGATAACTAGTCGAAAATTCAGTAAAACAGTCGTAATTCGGTGCCAAAGATCTATAACGACGAACTCTTTTAGGTTTTCATCAGAAAGGATCTGAGCTTCGTTAGATAAAACTATTTCTTCTAAAAAGGTGAGATACTCTCGATGATTAATTATTCTATGATATGTTTCAAGTAATGATTCTACCTACAATGGTGTTTCATGTAAGAAACGACAAAAAAACAAAGAAAAGTAATTAACTACAATTTGTATGAAATTAAAAAAGGAATTCAACAAGTAACATTTCATAAGGAAATACATCAACAGACCATCAATCAATTACTGCTTCTTAAACACCAGTTTTACTAATCAAGTTTAATACTTCTGGACATATATAATCTTATGTACCAACGAAAATATTAGATTGAACAAGACAATCCTTTAACAGAGAAAAACTATTTATTAATTCATTTACTTTATCCAATTTAATACAAATACCAAAAATCTGCTAATTTCAAATGTTCATGTGCATCAAGTAAAATATTATTTGGTTTACTATTGCTACAATAACAAAAAAAAAAGAAAATTCTTATTCATACCGATGAATCGCATCAAGTACAAGAATAACTGCAGCACAATAGACACGTGCAGAATTTCCAGTCATTTCATATTGATCAAGTAACGTTTACAAAATCACTACATGACATATTATAATCCATAATCATATACAGCTATATCATATGAAAATAATTTATGAATAATTAAACCTATGAATTGATCTACAATGTATAAAAGGGTCGTACAGTTGAGATATTATTACAAATGGATTATAGAGAGTTTTGATTCTTCTATTATTTTATCGTATTCTTTACATCTGCTGTAGAATATTCGAAAAAAACACTACTCACGAGTCAATTGATATCTAAAAAGACAATCATATATAGTGAATATTTACTAAGAATCTTCAAATCTATTATGATCTTCCCTTCATCACTCAGAAATCTATTTTTACCCTAAAAGAGATACTAATATCGACGCCAGAAGTCAGTGTACTCAGATGTTTTTTGAATAACTTTCGATAGGAACAAGTTAGAGACCTGCAATTTTCAGCAATCGCTAGAAGATAAAAGGGAACACATTTTTATATGAAAAACCAAGGTTTAAATAATCAGTCATAATAGGAGTGATTGTGGAATCACTGATAGAATAGGCTCATTATTTGATGAAATCTCAGTAGAACAAGCTGAAATTTTCAGCATATATAGCTCCACTGTAGCCTAACCTTTTTTAAAAATATCATCGATAAATCTTGTAATACCGAGAACTGGTATGCCAATCATTATATCGGTTTTACATAAGGTTCTCATTCACTCAATATATTATAAAATGACCTTAAATTTTGCCTGAATAAATATCATAATCCAGACTTCATATCTATGAAACTATATCATAGTTTGATTATATGAACGAGAAGAGCCGGTGAACATATTACTAAATTCTGTATTTCTCTTGAAAAAGTTGGAAAGATTTGTTTTAAAATACTTACTGCATGAAAATCATTTGTTCGTCCAATTTTGACTGTTTCTCTTCATTTCTACGATAAAAGTACGATGTTATTAGATAGATATGAAGTCTAGATTATGATATTTATTCAGGTAAAATTTAAGGTCATTTTATAATATATTGAGTGAATGAGAGCCTTATGTAAGATCGGTATAATGATTGGCACACCAATCCTCGTCATTACAAGATTTATCGATGATATTTTCAGAAAGGTTAGACTACAGTGGAACTATATGTGCTGAAAGTTGCAGCATGTTTTGCTGAGAATTCATCAAATAATATGTGTTCTCTTTTACCTTCTATCGATTGCTAAAAACAGCAGGTCTCTAATTTGTTCCTATCGAAATTTATTCAAAAAACATCTGAGTGCACTGACTTCTGGCGTCGATATTAGGTCAGTTTTCTAATAAAGAATTCAAATATCGATGTTAAATGAAGCAAGGTCCAAGATTTTTATTATGCGATTCTATTCAAGGGCATGTCAAAAAAGACAAACAAAATAAATTATTTCATACTAGTATTCAACGAAACCATGGCTGCGAAGTCTATCATAGCCTTTTGATATCCAAAGAACTGCCATTTTCTATTCACTTCATCATCCTTCATGAATCTTTACAGTTAGCTACTTCGACATTTGTCACTCATTTACAAGGATCTCGAGTGCTCGTGATAAATAACCACTTCGATATTGATTTTCATCTTGCATTAAATTAATCACATCACTAACAACTTCATCTACATTTACTGTAGTTGCTGCATCATGTTTACAATAATCATTTTTATCTCCAGGACTCCATAGTCCATATTGCAGATTAAATACTTCGGCCCAACGTCGAAAATTGAATGATAATAAACGACAACCAGGTGGATTGATTTCATAAAGAATTGTACCTGGTCTCATGAATAAAGTATTCGATAATCCAGCTCCATGAACTCCAATAAGAACACGAATCGATCGAGCCATACGTACTG